GCTGGATTCAAAAAGACAGCCGTGTCCGCAGGTGCCAGACCCTTTCCGCGCGCGAGCCCCCTACCTCTGTGCTTCTCTTTTGCAGCTTCTATGGCTCTCAGTGTGCTTTTCTTTCCTTCCAGTTGTAGAATTTTCAGTCAGCCAGGCTTCCTGTGGTTCTGGATGATGTCCGTATTGTTTTTCTGAGGTATTAATCAATTGTTGTGAGCGGCATCAACTTCCCGGTGTTTATCTCTGCCGCCATCTTAGTTTCTCCCCTGTCTAAAATCTTGAAATCATTTATAATTTATTTTTCAGATTTCATGCACTTTGATGGTTTTTTCACATTTCTGTTTTCCATGAGCTATTGGGACTGACCTGTGCTGCCCTCTGTTGTCCTACGTAAGGTTCAGATGGCTTTCTCCAGGGGCACCCACTTTTCCTCCAAGCTCAGACACCATTATCAATGTCATCACCAATCACTTCTGCAATTCTGCTACAGTTGTGATGAATAGCCAGTGTCTAGTTTCTCCTGATCTTGATACTCTGTGCAGGGCCAGAGGCACTAGCCTCTGTCGATGGGAAGTCTGCCTTGGCTATTGGGTTGGGGAGAGGTTCCTCGTGAGGTTACTGCACAAGAGCTTGTTTTGGTTTTATGATTTTCCAGTCTAGTCAGTAGGGCCCCTAATGCAGAGTCTGTACCTGGAAAAAGAAAGTGGGAGGAATTGTGTCCTTTTGTGCTAGCTTCAATGTGCCTTGAAAATACGTTCTTGCCAAAGCTCTGCTGTTGAAGTTCATTTAGTGGGGAAGCGTGCAGAGCTTTGGGAAGTGGTGCAGCTGGGTCTGGGGTGGTCAGGAAAGAAATTGTCTTCTGGAGGTGAGCACCATGAAGTCTATAGAATCATTTTCAGCAGAGCAGCTGGAGGCAGAGAGCTGCCTTAGAAGTGCTGAGTGTCAGAGAAAGATGAGGAAATGAGATGGGTTTGCCCTGAGTGTTTCCTGGGACTGAATCCTGGAGACTGGGTGGGGCTCTGGGAATCTCAGTACCTGTCACAGACAGTAAGGGCTGCATGAGGGCTCTTCCACCTTTTCTCCTCCCCAGCTCTATCGACAAGTATTTTTTCCATTTGGCAATGCAAACATTTGAAAAATGAGACTGTTATCCCCCAGAACATGCAGTGATGGAATTCCTATGGTTAGGTTGTAGCACATTTAGAGAGAATGACCGTATTGTCAAAGATGCATTGCTGATTAAAATTTTGTTGCTAAATAAATAGCTTATACTGAATATTATGCAAATGACTTTCTAATAATAACTTCCCATAAAATAATGGGAATTTACCGAAGTATTTATGTATATAGCCAGTTGGATTTGTTGTGTTCAATGATAATTCCATTTAGAGGATGGAAACTGCAAAGTTCAGATGGTAAATGCCAGACTACAGGGAATATTGACATTTTGATGGACGTAGAAGAACCTCCCAGCTGATTCTGTACAGTCACATTAAGAATGTCTTTATTTATTTTTTTAAATATATTTTATTGATTTTTTTACAGAGAGGAAGGGAGAGAGATAGTTAGAAACATCGATGAGAGAGAAACATCGACCAGCTGCCTCCCGACACTCCCCACTAGGGATGTGCCCGCAACCCAGGTACATGCCCTTGACTGGAATTGAACCTGGGACCCTTCAGTCCGCAGGCCGACGCTCTATCCACTGAGCCAAACCGGTTTCGGCAAGAATGTCTTTAAAGTGTGATATTAAGTCATGCAACTTCAGTAACCTTTTATTTGAATACACTATTAATGCAGACAGTCCTGGAATAATCTTTAGGGTAGAAGTCATGTTATTTCAGTCAACATTTGGGTTGAGTTTGGTAAAATTTTAGAGTATTGAAAACAGGAATCAGGCCCCTGTCATATTGAAAATGAGGACATTGGTCTACATTGGTTAGCACGGGGATTTGAGAGAAGGACTCTGGCTATTAATGGACACTTGGATTGCTTCCATCTCTTGGCCATGTGGATAGTGTTGCTGTGAACATGGGTGTTCACTGCTATTTTTTAAAAATATGTTTTTATTGAATTCAGAGAGAGGAAGGGAGAGGGAGAGAGAAATAAAAACATCAGTGATGAGGGAGAATCATTGATTGGCTGCCTCCTGTGCACCTTCTTCTGAGGATTGAGCCCACAATCCGGGCATGTGCCCTGACCAGGAACCCTGACCTCCTGGTTCATGGCTCATTTGTGCTACAGACACCAGTGGCACAGAGTTCTAAAGTATACTTAATGTCTGCTAGGAGAGTTTTTGGTAGTTTTAGTTTCTCTTTACCCCTTCATTGCTGGAACCCTTGCTGAGACATCTGACTTTCCATCACTCCCCAAAGCTATGTGGTGGTGGGGAGATGGAGAATGGATGGCTTGGAGGAGGTACATAGCTCATTCTGTCCCCCAGGATGGATTGTCGGAGGTTCATTTGACCTGAGGAAAAGACCCCATTTTCCTGTAGGAGGTCAGACTCAGTCCTGGATGCATTTGTTTTGTACAGAATAGATGTATAATAACATGAGAAATCTGTTATTTCCACTGTAGACATGACCATTTATTAAGGCTCTGGCAACCCTACTGGAGCTGGCTTCCATCCCAGAGAAGTCAATTACAGGGGGAAGAGAGGTCTCAGTGTGCTCCCTTTTGGTAAAGTTGGTTCATTGTTCTATTTATCCAGGGTAGGAAATGAGCAATCCTGGTGAAGACTGCTGGAGGAACCCCGAAATTTCTTCCATAGGAGACAATGCCCTGGGCAACATTGTTACACACAAGGGGGCCTCCAGTGTCCCGCTGTGGGTGTGGAGAGGAAGGGACACTAAGCCAGGCCCCCATACTCCATGCCTCCCAAGCTTGGGGCCCTAAGGTCTGGCCCTCAGAGGAGGGAGGCTGGTGCAGATGCAGAAGTCAAGCTCCTGGGTCTTTCATTGGTTAGGCTTCAACCCTGGCTGTGGTGACTGTCTATAGCTCAACCCAAGTCAAGGTATCTTGCCCTTTCCCATGAAAACACTGCATGTGTATGCGTTGTGTGACCCGTGCTCCTCCCCTTCCCTCAGAGACTGGGTTGATGGGAAAACCCCCCACTTTACTCTGGTCTGGCCCCCAGACAGGCTGTGGGGATGTAGTCTGTTCCCACTGTCTTGTTCTGCCCAGTCCCCCTGTCTCAGGTAGTGTTGCAGATGCCAGTGGCCTTACCAGGAAGGTGGTCTTCCCCTCGATCTGGTCTCCTACACAAATCTGCCTTTGGCCGTTGAAGGTATCAAAGTAATTGCTGCACTCCTGATCCCTCTGCACACTCAGCTGCACATTCCGAAGTGTGTCTGTTCCCCTCTGCTGGCTGACCAGGCCCCAGCCAGCCACGGTGCACAAAGACCCAGGACTCAGTCTGATTTGGGACTGAGGCAGAGCCACTGGCCTCACAAATCGGTTCCGTTTAGCTCTATTTTCCAGCTGGCGGGAAGAGGGCAGGCACTTAGGGAATGTCTATGCAGCCCTCACCCCACCACCCCTGGGACTCTGCCCCTGCTTCCTCTTCCATGAACCCCCCATGCTGGGAAGGAGCCAGCTCAGGCAGGTGGTACCTGCAGTAACATGAGGTCATTCAGTTGGTTCTGCTGATTATATCTAGGGTGGCGGATGGCTCTGAGCACCAAAATACTCTGCTGGGTCCTTTCCTGCCTCCTGATGTTGTGGGCCCCCAAGATGACGCGCATACGGCTGCAAAGGAATAGTGGCAGGTATGAGCTTCATGTGCTAAATCCATCAGTTGTGCTGGGCAGGTGAGAGCTCAGGGCAGCAGAACTGCAGCTGAGGGAAATGAGGAGACAGGGAGGCTCTGGGGCTGAGATCTCTGTGTCTGCTGCTTCTCCAAAGCCTTGCACTGGAGATGGTGGGGGACATATTGACCTTAAGTTTTGCCTCCCCTAGAATAACTTGAGCAATAGCTTGAATTCACATTTTGAGGCCTAATGTATGCCTTCCATCTCTTCCTCTTGACCTCATTTACACTAGATTATTCCCTGCCTCCCAGGGTTTACTTAGTTTCTCTTCACCCCTTCATTGCTGGAACCCTGCTTTTGGCTTCATGGTCTTATGAATTCTTCTGAACCCACCTTACTGGCCGCCTGGAAGATCCTTAATTCCTCACCTTCCCCAGCATCGGGCTGATGTCATCACAAAGTCTTCTCGCACCAGGAATCCCCCACAGGTGCTCAGGCCCCTTGGTGTCCGAGTCAGAAGATATGCCATGTAGGGGTGGGAATGAGGGAGGGCCTCTTGGCCTCTGATGACCTCCCCTGGAAGGAAGTATTCAGCACTTATCTCTGTGTTTGTTGAACTCACAGCTTGGTTGATCCTGAAAGGTTAGAAGATGGGGAAGCTACAGAGGTGATGCAGGGAAAGGAGGGTTTGGTGGTAAGAATTGGGGTTTGCAGAGTACCACATTATGGGAGAGGGCCCCAGGGTTTTTCCGGGAATACTGCTGGCTCCAGCTCCAGACCTCAGCTTCCCCGTACCTCCCCAAAAGGAGAATAACCCTTGCTTCAGACAAGGCTCTTAAGCCTCTCACAATGTGGAGCGATCTCTCCTGTTGGCATCCAGAGTCCGCTGGAGTAGCTTCTCCCTGAACTTCCCTGGGACTTTCTTTTTCAAGGACCTTCCTGATTCTTCTGAGTCCAGCTCATGACCAGCTCACAGACTGTTTTTCAAGAATCTATACTAATAAAAGCCTAGGTGGTTCTCGTGCCCTCCTGCACAATGTCGTCACAAGATGGCAGCCACAAGATGACCGCGCACACAGTGGAGGCGGGTTTCAGCAGCCACTCTGTGCAGTGAGGCATGGGGGTCCTGTGGCTCTGTGCAGCGGGGCGGAGGCCGGTCCCAGCGTCTATGCCGCCTCACATGGAGGAGGCTGGTCGGGCCACTAGGGGAGGGCAGTTGGGAGCAATCAGGCCAGCAGGGGAACAGTTAGGTGTCAATAAAGCCTGCAGTGGAGCAGTTAGGGGGCGATCAGGTTGGCTGGCAGGCGTGGTTAGGAGCAATCAGGCAGGCCGGCAGGCGAGTGGTTAGGAGCCAGCAGTCCCAGATTGTGAGAGGGATGTCCGACTGCTGGTTAAACTGGCAGTGGGACATCCCTTGAGGGGTCCCAGACTGGAGAGGGTGCAGGCCGGGCTGAGGGACACCCCTCCCCCTCTCCCCACCCCCGTGCATGAATTTTGTGCACCAGGCCACTAGTCTAGATATAAGCTAAGGGGACTGTTATTGTGGATCCTTGTCTCCTTGACTTTGGCATATGGGTTGCAAAAAATTCATAGAGCAGAGTTACAGAGCACATTCTACATGCCAGGGGCAATTCCAAGAGTTTCATGTACACTAACTAATGTAACTGTCTTAGCAACTCCATGAGGTGGGCATTCCTATTATTTCTATTTATAGATGAGGGACCTGGGAACTATGAATTCAAATATTGTGCCCAATGACACAGAGTTAGGAAATGCCTAGGCTGTCTGGGCCCAGAGTCTATGTGATGGGTTTGGGCCTCTACGGGTTTGGACGGTCACTCACCTGCCCCAGCCCCTGCGGGTAGGAGAAAGGCCACCAGGAGCAGGAGTTGCTGCATCTTCCCAGGAAGGCTGACCAGTCAGTCTGCTGGTGCTTCCTCCTTCCAGACTTTAATCCCCAAGAGAGGAAGGAAGGGTAGGGTGGGGACTCGAGGGTTCCCATTCCCATTCCTCTGTTGGTGTAACAGGTTTCATCACCCCTGGCTGGCAAGGAGGTTCGTCTACAAACTGCCAGTGACCTGGGGGAAGGCAACACTGGATCTCCCACAGCTGCTGAGTCATGTTGTCAGCAGAAATGGGAGCCAGGGCACAAGGAGAGAAGCTTTGGGC